AACAACACACACACATACATATTATGTATATATATATATTATATATATATATATATATATATGAATATATAAATATGTATATACATATGTAATATATGTATATATGTATATATAACATCCATACGTATGTGTGCGTATGTGACAGAGAGAAACAGACAGACGGAGAGAGAGGAGATATGTACCTATATTTATGTATTCACACACACACACACACACACACACACACACACACACACACACACACACATATATTATATATATATATATTATATATATATATATATATATATATATATATATAATATATATGTATGTATATATATTATATATATATATGTTTATTTATTTATTTATTTATTTATTTATTAACATGAAATAAACGTTTGTGAGCATTGAGCGAGCGTAAGGGCTTTCGGAATAATGGTGCGTTCGGAACTGCTCGTCTATCTCGTCCAGACCAGTTGGACGAGATGTTTTGACCGTTCGGAACCTCCACTATCTCGTCCCGGACAAGTAGTCGAGCTCGTCCAACTCGCCCTCATGCGAAGGTGGCCGAGCAGGACGAGATGACGTCACAATAGGTTTTGTATGTAAACATTGACAGTTGCAGGTAACCACAAGATATTGGTGGGTAATTTTATGACCCTTTATTGGTGTTATCAAAGGATATTTTTGTGTTGTCAGTTGCAGTTAACTTAAAAATGTATCAAAGGAGTTACAAACTTATGCAGCGTGTAAAATAAGACACCGTATGAAAAAAAAAAAAATATTTACATTCGAGCCGGTTGCATTCTGGGCGGAAAGGGTCTTGGAGGTTCCGAACGCGGCCCACTTGTCCTGCTGGTCCTGGACAAGATGTCTGGACGAGCAAGACGAGCAGTTCCGAACGCAGCATAAGGAGACGAGGGCGATGGAGATGGGAGGCAGAGGAACGCGAGAGGATGGAAGAGTGGCCGAGAGAGTGAGAACCATTAAGCGGATTGAATAAGAAAACGGAAGAAGACAAGTCAGATATGGAAGACAACAAATCCTACACAAGGCGATGTTGTTTTCCAATATTTCAGGCGTAGGAAAAGGGGCGGGGGGGGGGGGGGGACCCAACACCTAAAATGAAGGGGGCGGACCCAACTACCCCCCCCCTTCCTCAGCTTTCGAGGACATTCCCTGTAAACAAACAGTGCAATTCCTTACCCAGTTACTGAACACTGGCGCCTGCACCTGAAAGGGCAGCTGCAACTGAGTCTTGCGTTCAAAGTGAAATAACCATTACGTCTAGTACTATCTAAATAAAAATGTCTGACATATTAGTGCAGAAATTATTAAACTTATCTCTTGAAAACTGCTAAAATCCAGGAGCTTCCGAGGGCTTTGCTCCCGGTCTCCCACCAGGCCGGTAACCCTGGACCCCACCAGGGGCTAAAGCCCCCAGGACCCCAGCTATTTTGGGGGGACTTGTTTTGCTCCCCCCCCCTCCCCCCCCTTAAAATACCTTCCTACGCCTATATATATTCCTCTGGCGATAAAGTTTTACTGCATAAAACTTTATTGTAGTAACCAATTTTAGTGGACATATGAGAACTACATGGAAAATTGATATTTGACTAAGTTAATTATTTTGTAGAACAAAATCTCGCTTGATCAACCTGTCTGTTTATCGAATATTATATCTGTACTGCATTTTTTTCTCTTTTTTTCTTAAATCAGTGCTGATTTTTTTTTTTTTATGGGAAAAGTCACTGCAATGGTGAATAATGAAAGTACGGTAATGGCGTCGAACTTTGTGTTAGGTCATCCAGCCAACACCAAGTCGCTACATGGAAAATTAATATTTGAATCCTTTGCAGCACCAAATTTCGAATGATTCCCGTCTGTCTATCTACCTATCCCTATCCCGTGTAATATCCATACAGCCCTTGTGTTTTTCCTGAAATGGCGACTGCATAACAATTTATCCTCCATATTAATGCTCATGCAAAACTTTCTTCGGATTTCAAGGTGAAAGTCATTATAAGGATGAATGTGTTGGCGACGAACTTTGTGTTAGGTCATCCAGCCAACACCAAGTCGCGCCTTGACCTCGCTTCCTCACGCAGACTCCAGAGAAACTCGAAGGTCGCGGCCTCATTCCCGCTCCTCCTGCCAGCCTTCCTGGCCGGCGGGAGTATAAAAGCCCCGCGCTGCAGCCACGGCGTCAGTCGTCTCGCAGCGCACCCATCACTAACATGGTATGTCTAACAAGTTCTGCACTCGCGCTCTGTAAATCAATTGAAAGACCCGATTCGAAAGAAGAAAAAGAATACACATGGAAGAGCTTAAGGCCTACGTTCATGCATGAGAAGTTGGTCTCTCTACATACCAAGGGGAAAGAATTACGAGAAAATAATGATAATGCATTCTCTGCTTCCATTAGACTCGAGTTCTCTTCACCGTCGTGGTCCTGTCCCTCGTGGTCGCCTTGGCCGCCGCCGGTGGATTTGGCGGCGGACACGGAGGCGGATTT